TTTAGTTGCACTGTTTATGCAAATGTAAACACCTCCCAGAGCTTGTGGTGCTTTCCTGCTAGTCTTGTGACCGGGCCTTAGCATATTTGGAAGATTATTCCAAACCCCTTCCTGCACATTCACTGGTTTTCTTCAGTAAAATACGCAACTGTGGCTTTAATGTTTGTCATATACGTTCTTTTCAACTGATGTAATGTGCTACATAACATTTGTTAAGATGTTAATTAGCGATAGATAGATAAATAGGACTCTCAGTTGTGGCTTTCCCTCAGACGGTATCTGGAAAAGTGATTATCCTTACTGATGTGCGTACGCATATTATTAGAGATACGGTTTCTTGCTCAGTACCAAAGGAGTTAACCAATCATCATCATTCCTGGTTTCACTAAATCTTTGGACTCGGTCTGCTTTCTCTGACCCAATTTTATGTGCCACCAAGAACCACTGAGAGAGAGGAGCAGGGAGAGGAATGGCTTTGGAGGTGCAACTTACGTTTTTGGGCAGTAGAAAAAAGATTCTAAATGTATGAAGAGAAAAATGATCTCCTATATTAATTATAAGATAATGTTATTTGTGGAGCTCAGTGAAATGTAAGTTAAAGGTGACGGTTTAAGCGTGAAGGAAAAAGTTAGAGGAGCATGTAACAGTTATTGGACTAAGATGCCAGTTAAGTGGAACAAGTGCTGGAAAAACCAGCATAGACCAACTTGGCTGGTCATCAGCAAAAACAACATATGCTGCATTTCGTATGCTGGTGCGGTGGAAAGCAACAATCGGGGTTATTATGCTGGTCATCAGCAAAACCAGCATATGTTGTGTTTTGGATGCTGGTATGCTGGTCAACCAGCCTGACCATGCTGGGTGACCATTTAACCAGCACAAGACCAGTGTAAACCAGCTTAGAGCAGCATGCTATGTCGTTTGTTTCAGCCAGTAATAGAACAGAAAGAAAACTGTTCTACTTTTCTAACGAAGCCAAGTGTAGGAAGAGTAGATATGGAAAGTGCTAATGCTAACATCAGACTGAGGAACTGGAGTGGGAATTTTGGTTATGTCACTGTACCACAACATTTACTAACGATATCATGTTTCACTTCCCGCTCCCTCCACCCCCACCAACCACTGAGCTAAACACTTTAGCTCAACTCTTTCTGATACAGTTATTCCTTGAAAATACGTCATATTTTTTTTTAGCAAAGCATTTCCAATTCATGTTTATTTTAAAATTTCCCTTTAGAAAGTACCTGCCAGTTTCTGCATTACAGTTCACAGAATTTTAAATGGTTTATTTGTTGAAAATTACTGCAACAATGAACAAATAGCCGCAGCCGGCTATTTAAGCCCAAACAAGTATTCTTAGTGGGCTACTTTAGGCGCAGCTAGCAAAGTTTAGCCGAGCCTTTCTCCAAAAACATGTCATTTTCCGGTGAAGTCAGATTAGCTCCGCATTAGGGCTGGAAAATATCTAATTGCGATTTTACTGACTAATATCACAACTGATTAAACTGTGAATATTTTCTATAAACTAAGTTTCAGGCCTGTTTTTTGGCCAAGAAGACCAGGATGTCCACCTTTTCTGGCTTGAGGCTTGATCTGTAAATGTACAGTGCCAGCCTGCCAGTACCTTGTGGTTGTGATGTAACAACATAGAGATTTGGTTGCTATCTACAGGCAGTTTATAAGGTCCTGTTTAATTAAGTAAAATTTCCCCACTTAAAACTTGAGACAATGGTTTTGATAATGCAGGTTATAATTTTAAAATATAAATAGCGATTTTGATATAAAAAATATTCATCTTTTAGCCCTACTGTGCATCTCAGTTAATAGAAATGGAAGAAAATCTTGCTTCTCCGAAAATATTGAAGCTACATCACTGTTTTTTATTCAGTTGTGAGGACTTGTGTTTGTGTGCTATCTTGCCTGCTAAAAACATGCTTAAAATGTCTCTGACCACACTAAAACCTCATCCAGTCTGTGTCCTAAACCGCATCAGCAAGTTTATGTGAATTTAATGAAGACCTGGATGCAAATTTGAGGATTTATTAGGATGACTGGATACTAGACTTCTTGTGTTTGTTAGCAACATAGCCTCATAGCTCCAGCGCTAACCTAAGGAAGCACAAATTGGACACCAAACTTATCTTCGCTGACTAACCATATCTAGGATAAGTGGAAAATTGTGTAAATTGTGTTCATTTGCTGCTTTTTTCACTGTGTACATTTTTTGCTGAATCATTTCTTTGCTGTTAGGGAGCATATAGGCTAATGAGGTAGCTAGCATGCTAACAGGTCGACAAGGGCAGTGCTCGTCTCATTGACCAAAGGCCATTATTTTTATCTTATAAACAAGATCCTTTAGATGGGATATATCTATCCAGTTTAACCATCTATCTGCAGTTTTCCAACTGGCATATCAGGAAATACAAAATACACAATAAACCACAGAGACTTTTTCTTTGTCTCTTTACCAGTTTCTGGTCCCTACCGCACAGGTTGAGGTTAAGGGGGAACTCCACCAATTTTTCAAGAGTTCCACATCATCAAATAGTTAAGATGTAGTCAAAATCATTCAGAGTGGTTTGGTGTGAAATGCTCCATTCTAGAGAAACTTAATGTGTCAGAATTGTTCACAGTGGTGGTGATAGGAACCAAAAATCCGAAGTGTTTAATACCTCTAAACGTTCACTCACCAACAGTTAGTACACAAAGTGGTTATGAATATGCTGCCTGATGCCTGAGACATTATTTTACGATAGTTTTGGCATAAAACATCTTGTTAATTCATTTATTTTAATCCATTTGTATCTTTTAATCCATTTTAATCCATTTGGATTTTCCACTATTTTAGCATAATCGACATTATACAGCCCAAAAACGTTCAAAGTTCAAAGTCCAAAAAAGTTGGAATGCTGTGCAGAATATTAATTAAAAAAGAATGCAATGATATGCAAATCGTGTAAACCATATTTTTAAAGGAAAATACTACAAAGACAACATATTAAATGTTGAAACTGAGAAAGTTTATAGTTTTTTGAAAAATAAAACAAAATTCATTTTGAATTTGATGCCAACAACACATTCCAAACAAGGTTGGGACGCATGGGGAGCATGTTTACCACTGTGTTTCATCACCTCTTTTAACAACACTCTGTAAGCGTTTGGTAACTAAGCAGACACTGCTGTAGTTTTGAAAGTCATATGCTTTCCTGTTTTTGCTTGATATAGGATTTCAGCTGCTCAACAGTTCGGGGTCTCCTTTGTGGTATTTTTTATTTCATTGTGCGCCAAATGTTTTCAGTGGTGACAGGTCTGGACTAGCGGCAGGGCAGTTTAGCACCCAGGCTCTTTTAATATGAAGCAATGCTGCTGTAATATGTGCAGTATGTGGTTCAACATTGTCTTGCTGAAATAAGCAAGACCTTCCCTTAAAATGTCGTCATCTGGATGGCAGCATATGTTGCCAAAACATGTACATATCGTTCAGCATTAATGGTGCCTTCACAGATGTGCACATCACCCATACCATGTGCAGTAATGCACCACATACCTTCATGACTACTGGCTTTTGAACTGTGCACTGATAACAAGCTGAGTGGTCTTTAGCCCAGAGGACAGTTTCCATGATTTCCAAAAAGAATTTCAAATGTTGATTTGTTGGACCACAGGACACTTTTCCACTTCCTCTCAGTCCATTTTAAATAAGCTCAGGCCCAGAGAAGGTGGCAGCATTTCTGTTTATATTTGGTTTCTTCTTTGTATTTTAGAGTTTTAACTTGCATTTGTGGATGCAGCAACAAACTGTTCACAGACAGTGTTTTTCCGAAGTGTTTCTGAGCCCATACAGTGATTCCACTACAGAATCATGTCTGTTTTTAATGCAGTGCCATCTGAGGGTCCAAAGATCACGGCCTGCAAATACTGGGTTTTGGCCTTGTCCCTTGCATACAGAGATTCCTCCAGATTCTCTTAATCTTTTAATATTACTATGTACCATAGATGATGAAAAGCAAAAGTTCTTTGCTATTTTACATTGAGAAACGTTATTGTTGAATTGTTGCACTATTTGCTCATGCAGTCTTTCAGAGTGGTTACCCCTCCTCATCTTTACTTCTGAAAGACTCAGCCTCTCTGAGATGCATTTTTTTACCCAATCATGTTACTGGCCTGTTGTCTATCAACCACCAGGTGTTTTTCTTTAGCATTACACAAATTTACCAGCCTTTTGTTGCCCCCGTCCCAACTTTTTTGGAATGTGTTACTGCCATCAAATTCAAAATGGGCATGTATTTTTCAAAAAAACAATAACATTTCTCAGTTTCAACATTTGATATGTTGTCTTTGTACTGTTTTCAATGAAATATAGGGTTTACCTGATTTGCACATCATTGCATTTTGTTTTTATTTCCATTTTGAACAGCGTCCCAACTTTTTTGGAAATGGGGTTGTATATAAAAACTCAAAAGGCACGTGTAGGTTCACTGCTGGTTTTGGATGGTAAATAAAATGGCTGTATTTGTATGGTAGACACATCAACCAGTTTTTCCTATCACCACCACTGTAAAGAAATCAGTCTATCTTTCTCTACAATAGACCACTTCATATCAAACCACTCTGAATGACTCAAAAATTGGTGGAATTCCCCTTTGAGGCTGGTGGACACACCTTATTTAAAAATGAACGCGTATAAAATTATATAATTATATAAATGTATAATTATATAATAATTATATAAAATATAAAAAGACATTTTTGTTGTTTATAATGATTTCTATGCTCAGACAGTGTTTTTTATGCATTTTTAATTGCCATAATAAAGAATGAAAGTGGAAAAAAACAAAAAAAGGAAGAGTTACACTACAGTTCCTATACGTGTACTGCTAGACTGCCCTCTTCCCCCCTTAAGAAGAACAAACAAAAACAATTTCAGGTACATTGTTTCCAACATCTCCCAAAATGACCAAAAACAGCCTAATAAAGAACATGTCGGAGCAAATAAAATGTATAAAAAAACATTATTTATTTTAAAAAATTATAAAAAAACAGCACAATGGACAGGTACAATGTTATTGGTTCATGTTAGATAATGATCATTATTATCATTAAAATACCTTTATCATTATCATTGTCTGATTTCATTAACTGGAATCCCAAAAGTCAAAGCACCATAAGTCAAGAGTTAACACAAGCAGAGATCTCTTTTTTTCACATCCTGAATTTATTTCATTTTCCTAAGTTCAGAAGTACAAACCCACCCTTTCACTTTCCCCAAATTAAAGCCACTTCATTACATTTATTTGTTGCCTGTCCAGCAGGACATCTTAATGACAATGTTAATAACAAAACACATTCTAGTCATGGAGAACAACAATAACGATAATAGCAACAGTCATAATAATAATAATGACATCATCATTATCAATAATAACAATCTAAGGTACAGTACGATATTAAGGGATATTGCTGAAAGGCACAGACAAAAACAAACAAACACAAACTTTCTAATGCAGGCGTCTAAAGGTCCTAGTATAGTGGGTGAAGTTTTGATGTGCAGATTTTAACATGGGGCTGGAGAACTACACCACTGGATTAATTAGGATGATATAATGGGGGGAAATGCTAACTTTGCTGAGTGGTCTAATTAGGTGGCTGCACATGAGGTGATTTTGGAAAGTCCCCTTATAAACAATTAGCATCTGAACATCACCGACTAGAATTTACAGACAACCACAGCTAGGTAAGGACAGTTTAAAAGGCAAACAAACAGCGATGAGCTGGCGTCACTGGCTAGACTAGAAGGAGTACAAGTGGATCCAAAGGAGAGGAGAAAGAAGGAATTGTGTGGGAGCAAAGGAAAGGAATATCATATCCCTTCTTAAAAGTCTGGCTGAAGTAAAATTATAAAAACACTAAAATTTGTCATTTTGCTTCATACCACTGGGACTGTATTTAGCACAAAACTGAAAACATTACAATTACAACATGCATCATAAAGACTCAGAAAACAATTTTAGATGTTATCATATCAATCATTACATATAGAATTGATAGCCATATGTTACACTACAGTGGTCAGAAAACATGGATAAAGCTAGGAAGGAAAAGTTAAGTTACAATCGAAAGGTGAAACTAGACGGATAAGATTTTTGGTAAGTGTGTCAACAATATTTTAAAACTATGACAATTCCTTGTATTTGATACGATACAGGCGCTCAACAGTAGGCCTCTCACACTTACATTATCTTACATAATTGCTTGATTGCAAGTATTTAAGCTGATTGCAAGTGTTTTCCACAGTTGTTAGCTTTCCCATGTTTATTTCACAGCAAACAGAATGTGAACTGGGTGCATTTTCGTTCACTGGGTTGAGGCAAATGCATGTAAATAAATGAAAGCACAAGGACCTCATGAGCCTCATGAGAAAACAACTCGAGCTCCAATTAGTGCTAAAACACAAAGTTAGTATATGTGCTTTATTTATCCTACAAGGGAAATTTGTCATTTTGCGGCCTAACTCTGCCCAGTCTGGGAGCAGCGGTGTTGCCATTTGGGGCAGTGGCGGGGTTAAGTGCTTCGCCCAAAGGAATATCCAGTCAGTCCTTTGGATTCCGATTGCTACCTCCCTTTTCCAATCACTAGGCTATTTGGTTGCCACCCTACCTGGTTGTGAGATACTAAAAACTGACAGCTAATCAGTCAAATTACCCATGTTAAGCTATTTATATGCCAATTAATCATCAGCTAAGATGTTATGAAAGCACGAGAGGCCTACTCACTATAATGGTCGGTACAATGTAGTGGGCAACATCTCTGCCCTCTACACTGTAGACTGAGGTTCAGTCCCCCACCTGGGCAAGCACCCTACACTACACCAATAAGAGTCCTTGGGCAAGACTCCTAACACTATCTTCGCCTACCTGTGTTAAAAAAATGATCAAATTGAAAGTCCATGTGTATTGAAGCGTCTGCCAAATGCAGTAAATGTACTTAACTTCACGACAAAGCTGCATCTTGTGATGGTTAAAGCTCATTCTACATTTGCCACTTAGGTTGGACAACCATTTTAGTTTGTTTTGCATTATAACACTTAATATTGTATGGTGAAAAAGGTGCCTCTAAGGGTTCTTTAAATGATGCCATTGAAGAATCCCTTTTGAATCCATTGTTTGAAAGAGATTTATGAGTGTGGAGGACCTTTTCACTTCTGTTGTGGCCAATTCCCAGCCTCTTACTTAGGTCTCCTCCTGTCACATGATGCTTCCAGGCTGAGAGGGTGAAGGCTAGCATGTGCTTTCTCCAAGACACCTGAAGCATCTATTTGAACTACTCGTTGCACTTAGAGGAGAACGTCAATCGGCAGTGTACTGACTACAGACCACGTAAGCTAGCATTGATGGGGGGGAACCATCCCTTCCTCATCCTAAGAGGCTAATTACACATCAGCAGGGAATTGAACTCACAGCCTCCTGACTATAAGACCAATGCGTTTTTCAATGATTCTTTCCAGAATCTTTACATTATGTGGAGGTTCTTTACACTCACACATCTCATTTACAAACATTTGTCCATTTAAAGGTTCTTCTATGACATTAGGCAAATATCCCTTTTTGGCACCTTTAATTTGAACAATATATACACAGATATCATTTGTATGTTTTGAGGATAAACTTGTCACTCCGTAAGGCATAGAGGTGCATTGTTTATAAGACATGTTCTGATGTATAAAATTCTTAACCCAAAATCTTTAACTGTATTTTCAAAATCACAAATCAGTAATTTAAAACCCATTTTCCTGAAAAACAAAAAAAACACCTTATAGATCCAAAATAGCAAATGGTCCAAACAGACTTTTTTACTACAAAAGAGTCCACTGGTAAATCTTATTCTTTATGTCATTGATTGTCAGTTGTTGTATTCAGATTCCTTTGATTTCAGTTGGGGAAACTGTGCCAAAATCGTTTTACAAACCTCAGAGCCAGGGCTTCAACTTCGTTGTTCTGAATTACTGCTATGCTGCTCTTCCAACGCTTCTTCGTCCTCCTCTCCTGTGCCGTCCTCTTTGGTCACCTTCTCTTCACACCTTTCTCTCTCTCTAAACCTTGTACAGTAGAGAACGCTGCCAGTATAGCAGACGGCGTGGAGTGCCGTACAGCCGGAAGAAGAGCAAGGCTCCCAGCGTGCAAATAATGCACACCAGCAGCACGATTGGCACCACCACTGCTGCCACACTGCTTCCGCCACCAGCAGGGTTGTCCATCTTGACGATGATCACCTCCGTCTCCTCCACTTTGTCCTCTTCTTCATGCTTCTCTTCTTCACGGTCCCTGCCATCATTGCCATCATTTCCATTGTTGCCATCATTGCCATCACTGCCATCTCTGCCATCATTGCCATCACTGCCATCTCTGCCATCATTGCCATCACTGCCATCGTTGCCGCCACCACCACCACCACCTCTTCCACCACCGCCAGTCTTGGGGTCCTCATCTGGGCAGCCTATCCAGTCCCTGAGGGCGGACTTGGGGTAACCAGGCTCCACTCGCAACAGGTGGTTGTTAAACTTCCAATATTTATTGCTTTTGTAGAAGTATGTGTAACCTGGGATTGTAAAAGTCAAGAGATGACGTTGTTAGGATTCTGTATTTGCACAGGCATTTTGACATCACTTCATCACGTTTACATTAGGACCCAACTGATATGTGTGTTGGCCATAATATTTATGTTATTAAGACTTGGTCAAATTCTGCTGTTCAATAAATGTGACAAAGACTGACAGTCATTGTTGACAATTCACAGTTGACAACTGACAATCATACTTTACCAGCCAGTAAAGCACTATTAAAAAAACTCAAATAGTTTTATGTTGCTTTTTATTTTTACTATATTCATTTATATCAGTAAATGTTATTATTGACTGACTTCAGTATCAGAATCGGCAGAGGCGGCTACTAGCAAATAAGTGACATCTGCAGCTGCTACCAGGGGGCTTTCTAACAATGTGTGGATGTTAATAACTTTGGGTTATTATTGTACCATTGTTGTCTAAGATGCTTGAGTGAGGGGAAAATGCTTTGGCTTGTAGTTGGGCAACAAAAACTCATCAATATGGGGTCTATCTAATGAAGCGGGCTCAACTTAGTCTTTCAACGTTTCAGCTTCACAAAGCCCAACAAACACAGTCACAGTTAAGCTGTTTTACAACAGCAGTTAACAAACTTTCTCTGTTAATCCAGGTTTACTCAGTCTATGCTTAATCCAGGTTTAGACACTGTGATTAAGCTTGTGCAGACTTTTAGATACTCAGGATTAATTCCCATGTGTGCACATGAAAGCATGACGATTATATGAAATCAGGAACCATACTACCTAAATATGTAGAAAGTAAAGCATTTATAAGCAATGCTGTTGCCACTGCCACCAGAGTTGATCGAACTATGCTTACAGTTGGCTGGGTAAGTGGGAAATAAATACTGTGTCATTAAACAGACTCCTGGATCCAGAATGCTAAGAAGGTTTTCTGTCATTTAAACTGTAACTTAGTAGAGCCCAAATAAGCATCTTGTCATCAGAAATACACAACTTAGCCAGTTATAAATGTATGTAACTTAGAGAGCTTGTGGTACTCATTGTTATTAACTACCCTCTAATTTTACAGAACATGAGCTAGAACGATGGGGGACCCCAGATAAATCCTGCTTAAGGACACCAAAAGGCTAGAGCCAGCCTAAGGAACCCTTCAAAAAAAAAAAGGTTTAGAGATGGAATAGTTCAGTGAAAAATCAAATGTATACAGTTTTCTACTTAACCCAGATGTCGTTGCTCAACCAAGACATGTTTCAAGCCCAAATGTTGCTTCTTTAGTTTAATGCTGGGGGTATGAAGCTAACATTGCTAACGATAGAAATCAATAATCACCTAAGATGGAACTTCTCTCAACATGTTCAAACCACACCCAACTGTTTATTAAGCTCAAACTTGTTGATGCCGTTTAGGACACAGTATGTCTCACTTTGAGCTATAAAAATGAATAAAACTGAATTTAGCTGAATGCTGCAGGCAGCCATTTTAGACAACAGATGTTGTCTACATCTCCCCTTCATGTGGAGGCACATCCAGATTATTTTGTTGTTTTTCATTAACAAACATACCTCTTCAGTTTGAAAAACCAAGAATAACCTTTATTAATAAACAGATCATCTACTGTAGTGTTCATATACCAGTGTGACGTGCGCACAAAGGCCACTCAGGTTCCGCTCAGAAGTCACTGTCTAAAATGGCTGCCCCCAGCTACATGGTCAAGTTTTGTTCATTTTTATAGCTCAAAGTGAGTCATAATGTGTCCTAAACCACATCAAGTCTACACAACCATATGCAGTTTAAGTGGGTCAAGAGAAATTCTGGGGATGTATTTACAGAGAAGATTTGGGTGACATTTGGCTTCTAGTGGTGCTTAGTAATGTTAGCCTCATAGCCCAACCACAACACTAAAGAAGCAACATTTGGACACCAAACATATACTGGGTGAAAACTGTGTACATTTGACTTCTTTGCTAAACGATTCCTTTAGGTGTTTTGGTGTATTACTCTACAGAATCCGAACTTGCATTTTACCCACAAATAAAATACGGAAAATCAATTCAGTAAGTAATTTAACAATAAGATCATTTCCATAGTTGTAGCTCTGCTTTCTGTGGTGATGTTCTTTGCCATCAATAGTTTATCACGCAACCATATCAGACTTTTCTAAAATGCCAACACCAGTTTAACTAAAATAGTTACTCAAAAAGTTCATCTGGAAATTATAGTGATTTAAGGAATGGTTCAAAAAAATCAAAATTTCACAATTTTTTTGTTACCCCAAATGTAGTTGACTGGCTGAGAGATGTTTAGTGTCTGAAGTTTGCTTCTGTAGTTTTTGCCCTGAAACTACAAGTTTAATAGAACATAAGTCTATGTCACCCAAAAACATTTAGGTAACACAGACTTTCAATACTTTTTAGCTACATTAGTCTCCTAGCTCCAGTGCTGCAGTCTTCACTGACCGACTACATTTGGGGTAAGAAGGAATCTGGGTTCATTTGATTTTTTTTTTGGTGAACTTTTGAGTGGTTAAAAAAAGAAGAGAAAAGAAAAGAAAACGTGGGAGATTCCTACTTTGGTCTCGGCTCATGAAAGCAGCTTTCATGTTATCGGGGACGCCCTGCCACTTGCTGATAGGTTTGGGGTAGTCTGGGTCCACTGACCGCGAGTCTTCATTGTAGCGATAGTATCTGAGAAAAGAAAGATGATATCAACATGCTTTGCTCTAAACCATGTCATACTTATCTTGACACACAACACAAGACACCTACTTGTTCCCTCTGAAGTAGAATGTGTTGCCTGTAGGAGTGTAAAAAAGGGCAGCATCTATTCTGTCCTTAGGAAGGCCGCTGCCCATCTCCCTCAGTGTTTTTGGGTAGCCTGAATCCAAGTTTGATTCACTGAACACCCAGTGCCTGTCCCCTGAGAACACAGAGAATTACACCCATTACTGCTACATGTCAGAAAAAAAACTATTTAAAAAAATACTAGAAAGGGATTCCCAGTGATTCTTCTAAATGTATGCATTTTAAAATAGTTAAGATGTAAATAATCTCATTTAATGATCTGATCTGAAATGAGCCATTGCTGAAAAACTGTGAATTGTTGACAGTGGTGGTGATGGAAACCAGACATCTGAGGTGTTTAATGCCACTAAAAGCTACCTCAAATTAGGTGTTGGATAAAATGGTATTGAATACACTGTCTGATGCCTGGGACATTGTTTTGTGATAGTTTTTGAGATGAGGTTTTACCCCATCTATTAATGGTGGAAAGGTATATGCAGGGTATTCTAAGGTTAATTAGTCCCTAAAGAAAACTTTTTTTTCTGATTTTCCACTGTTGTATCATTATCTACAGTGGGGTCCAAAACTGAGAGCAGTGATGAAAATGATTCTATTTTGCATTCTTTTCTAATTAAATACATGTTTTCATTATATATTACATTATCAGCATAACAATTAGAGCGAAAGGTTAAATTTTTAAGTATTTACATGAATTTTAGATTTCTTTTTGTATTTGATATGTTCCCTTTTTGCTTTAATGACAGTGTGCACTTGAGCTGGCATGTGTCCAGGAACTCAATTCCTTCTGAGAGTCGTCAGAACGTGAGCCTTAATTAAAGGACTAAGAATCTGACCTTTTTGAACAAAGGCCTTCACATGGTAAATGCCACAAATGTGCTTAAATTTGAATAGTGGCCTAGGAATAGGGCAGAATATTAAATATTTCTTCTTTATTTTACTAGTCATAACTTTTCATGTAATTGTTTTCAAAATTCTAAAACTTTCTGTTGTGAATTTCCAGGTTTAAATTGAAAAGTCACAGATTTTCAATGTGGTCTCTGACTTTTTACCCCACTGCACATTACAAACAAAAACTCAGCTGGCATGTATAGGTTCACCAGTCATTTTGGATAGCAAATAAAATGTATATATTTGCGTTGTATACATGTTGACCCCTGGTTCCCATCACCACCACTGTAAAATCAGTCTAAGTTTCTCTACAATGCACCATTTCACATCCAACCACTTTGAATGACTTTGTTTTCATCTCAATGATTGATTTATGCAGAAGTGTTTTAAAAATCATTGGAACTGCCCTTTAAATTGCTATTTAGCTTGTCAACTTTCCACACCATTTTTAGATAAAGTTACAAAACCAACTATTACCTTTGAAGAAGACAAATTTTCCATCCTCTCTCTCATAGGCAGCGTTAATCGATGAGGGTAGACCTCTCCAGAAATGTCCAATTGGCATGGGGTAATTTTCCATAATCCGGTGATTACGAACACGCCAGAACCATTTATCCTACGACAAAGACATTTATAGGTTTACAGATAAACTTTAACACTCAAACTTGTTTGCTGTATATAACTGCAAAAATCATACTTAAATACCTTAAAAATAAACATTTCTCCTCTAAGAATGGCAATGGTGTCAAAGTGGCCTTCACAGGCATCGGGGGCAAAGCTTGGTTTGCGTGGAGAGTGTGTGGGACGGGGGGTGTGGAAAGGGGTACGGGGGCTGAATGGTGGTCGAGAACGATCACCAGGGTTGGGTCCTGGAGGAAACAGAGGCAGAGCAAATGCTTAATGCTTACTCTGTTCTGATACATGATTTAAATACTACACAGGAAATCTACTGTTTTGCTTTACCGTAGAGCTGCTGAATTCCACGGCGATCGTCCTCTGGAAGCTCAAAGTTCTCAGTGTCCATCCATTGGTAGAAAGGGGCCATGATGGCAGAGGGGTCGTTTGAATGCTCCATGCCCAGGGCATGGCCCAGCTCATGCACAGCCACCAGGAAGACATCATTACCTGAAAGACAGAATGCAGTAGCACAAGTTAGCATGTAGGACCATGTAAAGCACCACACTGAGCAATAACACTGAACAGTTAAACTGTCCAAAATGTAACGTCTCAAGGCCTAACAAAGACTGTAACGGTCCAATTCACATCCTCAGGGTGCTACTTCCAGTGGTTTCTGTAAGCAGGTAACTGTGGCCATTAAATACACATTTAATTTTCAGTATCAGGAGCCATGACAACTAAACACTTGCTTTCAGTTTTTTAAAGAAATCTGCGAAGATGTTTTTCCACACCAAATTCTGTGTTACAAGTTGGTTGCATTTTTGACTTTTTACAGTTCAAGTAATTACAAATGTATATACATCAGTCAACAAAACTTACTCCACATCTCAGATGCCCAGTTTTATTGTGCAAATTTTCAAATATCCAAATGAATGAATACTCCTGAGCAATAACTGAGGTGGTAGCACTTTAAGTTAATGTCAAGACCCCTTGTCATGCATACCATACACCATTATAGCATAAATACTTAAATCTGAAGTCCTTTCCCTATGTTCTGATTTTTTGGAATCAAGAAAATTTTTGTGTGGAATCATCTGTATCGATTCCCATCATTTGGAATCTGAACTGGAGTCGACTCCAAAAATTATGGACTCGAACAGCCCTCCTTAACAAGATGGAGTCGAGTCGCACTGTCATAGTGCATCGATGTAAACATGCAAATGTGAAGACTTCAGTTTACTTTAAAATTTGCATCCTCTACTCTTTGAAATAGCTTTGATTCATGTTGTATGTGATGTGTGCTTGGGTATGAAGTGATAAAATACTAGGTATGACTGCTTTTGTTTGGAGTTGTGGCACCGAGGGCAACAAAGATCCTTGTACGACATTTGAAAATGTTTTATTATACAAAAATATTCTGCCTTGCTCTTACAAATCCAAGAGATTTTAGATACTGTGGGTTAAATTGGTAGTTTTTCAGTCTGACAGGGAGAGGCATTAGCAAGGGAAGAGCTATATTTTCAGAAAAGCTAACGCTAAAGCCTTACATGGTAAGGGAGGAATCGATGCCTTCTACACAAGTTGATTACGTGCTAGTTCGATAAGACTGACAGCTATTCTCTACAGCCTTGTTGAGTGGTATGCTTAGATTGGAACATAATTAGCTGCTTCAGAAACCAACATAGGGTGAAAATGCTAAAAGCGCCCATTCAGAGGTTTAAAAAGTTGTTTGCAGTCAGAATGATCTAAGACGCACCTAACAATGGAATTGAACATTAAGGCTATTTTAAAGCCAAAAGACTGCACCCAAACACATGAGCCCTGCTGAGACTTGCCATCTTTTTTCTTGCATGCACACACAAGCAGGTTCCAACAAAGGGAATTCCAAGAGAACCACAACATCTCAGTCAATTTTCTGACAGCCCTTCTCTTACCCTGCAGATCGCGGTTGCCAATCGTCCATGGCTCTGCAGCATCGAAGTGCGTGTCTCCTCCTATGCCATTGCCAGGGAAGTAGGCGTGTGCCAAGAACCCTCCCTCGCCATCGAACGGACTGGCATCACCGTGGAAACCTTCAGCAAAGAAGAGCATGATGTCTGCGAAGTCGGAGGTCTTGTCCTTTATATAACTGTAAGGGATCTCTCTGAATCGCAAAGGCGTGACACCCTCCCACACTTTGAAGGCTCTTCGGATGGCGTTGTGGGTTTCGTACTCCCCGACCTTAGGGGTGTAGTTCTGTATACTGAAAAAAACGAGAAGAACGGGTCAACTGGAGAGGCAATCACGAAAAAGTAGGCCATAGGAAAAAGGACGATACAGATATGGCAGGGGAGAGGGGAAAAAAAGAAGTAAGGAGAGTGGAAAGTGATTTACATTACAGACAACTAGCACAGAAATTCTGGCCAGACCAAACCTAAAGTGGAATGGAATGGGTCGTACTGTACGCCAAAAATGACTTTTCCATAAGTGAGGGAAGCGTTTTCTATACTTGGTTCCAAATCGGGGGTTTTCAGCTCACCAAACCACTGTTTAACAGCAATAGTTCAAATGACTTCAATTCAACTCATTTGCAGAAGCATTTGTCTCCTACCAGTACGTGATCTCCTTCTTCTCCCACTTCAGTCCCTGGATAGCATATCGTTTCTTCCTCAAATTGCTCTTCAGCTCCGCTCCAAACTTATCTGGAACGCCGCAGCGAGGCCTCTTCATTGCCCTGCCAAACATAATTCAACATATGAGCTCACCCTTTTGTTATTTTTTAATTATTGCGCACATACAAAACCATTTAAATCACAAAGCAACAACACACAGAAATACAAAACAATGTAATACACACGGAAAAGGAGAGCTGAGGAAAAAAAAAAACTTACATTTCAAAACACATTCAATAATTCAAACTATCGTTTAAAAAAATCTAGTTTACCTCAACCAATTCTCTGTTCCAAGAACATATAATCATTCACAGTAAGTCCAGATGTCAAAAGCAAAGTCATCTATGACATTTTAAGTACAATACAAATGGTAGAATTAACTGATCCCATTCTAAAAAGTTGATATTAAGTAAAACAGAATCTTTAGTATCGTTATACTGAATAAGTTTATTTCTACAACTTACAGATCTTTTTTGTATATACATAAAAAACGCCTTTCATTCATTCAAGGAGTCATTCATTTGGATACCTAAATCTCCCTCCCATTTACTAGAAGGAATAGAGAAGGTTTTATCACTATAAGACAGAAAAAGAAAAAAAACAAAACACCATAGTTATCTATTAGGATTATAACAAAAGCGTGCTAGAACTTTATATTTATTTTCACAGCTTGTTGAAGCAAGAAATTCTGTAAAAAGTCTGAGAAAACATATCGATATCACTTTGTAGTAGAGGAGATATTATGGTTTAAATTTGCTGAAAGGTTATTGCACTATTGCATGTAAAGTCACAGAAAGAAATACATTTTTATTACAATACGGATGTAAATCCTATATCAATTAGGGGTGAATTATATGGACAGAAAATGCACTGTCCTATAATGCGGTTGGACATTGCAATGACCATATGAGATGTGACAAATTATGATTACAGCAGATGCTTCTGACTGTATGTGCAGCAAGACTGGAACTTGATTTTGCTGTGCAATTAAAAAGATCTATCTAATTAGTTCAACTAATTCAAAATGCAAAACAAAAGAAATCCCAATAACTACTTACATCACAACAAGTTAATGTAACAAAGTTTTTCCCCAAGTAATTTTGGACCATTTCTGTTGGTCTGTTCAGCATGAAAATTTAACACAAAGCAAAGGGTCTTTTTTTGAACATAATTTGAAAATGCCAGCTGCACTTTACATTCTGTTCAAATGGACCAATAGAAGTGGTCCAAAATGACTTACAAAATATTGTTACATTGACATTTACATTTTTATACACACAACACTTTCAGTGAAAACAGTTACCACGTTTTAAGTGTTTTTACAGGTTAGATGTTAAGAACAGAGTATTTTTTGATCTGTGCTAGTGTTCATGCATTTTAAGTGTCTGTATAGCAGAGTGGTTAAGTCATTTTTGCTGCCTGCATAGAATAGCACACCACTACTCTATTATCAGACACAATCTAATTATGTTACTCTAGCGCTGCACATTCAATTCAATTTGATCCGTTCTGTCATCTTAGCCCTAAATCGCAGAAACTCCTACGATAATTTGTGCAGCCTTAAAGTCAACGTAATTCACTCTGTGGCTCACCATGTACTCAATTATGTTATTGAATTTAAATAGTAGACCAAAACAACAGTAATCACTCTAGACTTTTTCAGTGATTCTAGAGATTATAGTTGTTCATTTCCATCCTAGTACAACCTAGTTTCCACATACACTTCTGGAGAAGAGTGCTTTATATGATGGTTTATAGTCCTCTCCTCTCCTTGTATTAACAGAGCTAAGAGAATCAAAATCATTCAATAAGGTTTTGTAAGGCCGTGAATAAATGAATACAAATAGACTTTTATTGACAAAAGGAATAAAAGTATGCTATGCATCCTATTTACTCACGTCAGGGTGTCGGGGTCCAGGTTTCCGGTGATGGTCAGGCCATAGAATCTCTGCATGGCAGAGATTGCAGAGGAAATGGATTGAGGGGAGCGGGCTGCTTGCATCCGGAGATCTCCTGGAGGCAGGTAACCATACTGCTGTAGCCAGGCCTAAAGCAAAGACAAACAGAACAGCACATGGCGGTTAAATATTTCTCTCTACGCTTGGCCTACATTATTTTGACCAAATATGTATGTATTTTAGGTGACACAAATGCCTTGATTCGCCCAAGCACCCACAGAAACTCATCTGGGATGTAAGAGAATTGGTCAGGAAGCTCAGAGCATACAGTAGAAGTAGTAATTGAGGGCATAAACAGAAAGGCAGACGTTAGATTGGAAGGAGAAGCAGTTTTCAGGCATGGTCCTCCCCCCAAATTCCAGTTTTTCCATAACTCCATTAAACTGTGCAGCTGTAATTACCTGTTATAAACTAATCAACTACTACAAACATTTGATTGTGTCTCAAAATTTTATATAGTTCACCATAAAATTCGTTCATGGTATACTTGACTCATGTTGAGAGTAACAGAGAATCTTTTCTAGATGAACAAAAGCGTCAACACTCTACAGTATGAATGGTGAAAATATCAACTGGTTTACTGTGGGCCGTTTTCTGTGGGCATAACTTTGTGATGTTTTCCACTGTCATAAGCTGGAATACTCTCCACTTAATCTACTGGCCTTTTTAAAGTGAAAGTTCATTTGACCTGCGATTAGAGAGGGCAGGATACTTTGTTTGGAATGACTGCTCACTGATAGTTCTTAAACTACCAGCCTCAATTCACCTAGAATGAGGTATTAAAAGTGTTTTGACCCGTGCTGACTCCAGTGTTTTCCACAGCTGCTCTGAGATGGCCCTACTTGGAAAATGTGCAGCTTTTTTTATGGGGTTTTTGGCGTCAGCGCTGTGCTGGGCAGTCTTTTTCCAGCGTTGTGTATTCTGCCTGTTGATCGGCACAGTTTGTGCTAGATTGCTTTCTCTTCTGTTTTTAATCACTGCTCAGCTGCTAGCTAGATGCTTTCTTTGGTGGGGAACTCTTCCAGATTGCCTATAGGACTCTACTGAGGCTAAAAAAACCCAGCCGTGTTGTCGTTTTTGACATATTCCGGTATCTTCCATCACCCCTTTCAGATCAGTTTAAACCTATGTTTTCGCCCCTTCTTCATCACATATAAAGCGTATGACCAAGTCACCTCAAGCTTTAAAAATACTTTAGCTTTTCTCTTCTCTGTCACAAACAAGGTCTGAGGTGGATTTAATTACAAATGGGACTCACAACTCGACTTGGACTAAAGACATAAAACTTCAGAGTGGTGTAAAAATGATAAATTAGGATCCTAAATAAATGTTTGAAGAACACATTTCCAGTATTGTGAGTAAGTCTTACCTTTAGTTCATTTAGAGACACTTGTGTACAGTATAACAGTCATGCTAGCATGTAGCTTGGACAGCAAGTATGCTAGCTAGCGCAATAGCTAATTTAGCTGAAGCTTCTGAAGCTAATGTTTTAGTAAATTACAAATTTAAGCTTAATAAAACTTTAGCTAGGATAGATTTTATGCTAGCATACTAGCTACACAAACTACAGACTAACTAAGCATTTCTAGTTTTGCCTCTTTCCCTTTAAAGACTGCATTTACTGAGTGTAGCGCCTCAGTTCTGTCCTTCAGACTGAAGGTTTTTCTGTAATGAAAGGCTTGTTATTTGAAGCCATGTTGAACCTGACAGGATTTTAGTAGTAGTTCATTTTTTGTACAATGCCTGCAGCGAATAACAAGACTAAACTAAAACTCTACCTAAAGACTCGAAACGGCACTCAGGCTCACATGAAGCAACTTGTGAACATCTCTGGATTTAAAAGGTGAAACAATTAGCACATATTAGCAGTTCCTCAGTTCAGTATACCTAAATAATAACCCAGTGAGCTATAGCCATATAAGGGGAAAACAGGCCATTTTCCATCGTCAGGAAAAGACATCAATATAATTTCACACCAACAATCTTCAACATAAGGCTATCTGCTACACATAAAGGGACACTGAATTACTACATTTCTGCATAATTCAAATGTTGAGGTGTAAACAAAGTCATTTATTGTTGACGAGAAATTAATCTTCGTAGAAACTTCCTCATTTCTTTACAGTGGTGGTGATTGGAACCAGGGGCCGCCATGTCTGCAACGTTAGTTTTGTGTTGTATTTGTATAGTTTTCTGTACAAACAACTGTAAACCTTCGTGTGTTTTCTGACCTTTTATATGTAATGTTGACAATGATACAAGAGTGGCAACTTTTTCCGTTTGGTACTATTTTGCCTTACGACACCCTGCATGTACTTTTCCACCTTGAATGTCTAAAAAGGCCAAACCTTTTTCTCAAAACTATCATGAAACGTACTGTAGCCGTCTGTGAGGGAGCTTTTGGAGGCCATTAAACGTTTCAGACATCTGGTTCCCATCACCACCGCTGTGAACGACTGTGACTTGGTAAATTTCTCTAGAATGGAGCATTTCACATTAAAACCACTCTGAATGACTCTGTTTACATTTTGACCATTTGGTTTTGCAGACATTAAGAAAAATATGATGAGCTCACCTTTAAGTTAATGTCAGTGGTTTCAACGTTGCTCAATTCTAGTTTGTGATGTTGTCCCATGCAGTGCAGATTTACAAGCTGGGTACTTATGGGTACTGAGAGGCTAAACCTCAACTTCTTGTGCAATGGAACAATTCTTTAAAGACTGGGAAGGGCACAGTTGCTTGCAGTCCTCTTCTACTTTGCCTTGCATCTCCAAATGAATCCCATGTTTTTCGTAATAGCCACACGACCTAATTATAGTTTTGCAAACTATACTCTCATTATATTCAAGTACATTGTTTTCATTGCTGCATGTGGTAAAACTGTTGCGTGTGTGTTAGTTAATATCCAAGACGGTGAAAGAAAGACAACCAAATTGCGGGGAAAAAATGACTCACATGTTCCATTTTCTCTGAGCCAATGGAATAAAACAAGATTCGAGTGAGAGGTGATCATATCCAAGGCAGCCTCACAAAAAAATGCACTCCAGATACTCAAGTTACCATAATGAACCCCAACAGCCAACTAACCCCATCAGCACCATACCAGCAACAGACCTAGATATCAGCCTACAAAACAGAGAAATGAATAAGTAAATAAAGATTTTAGCTCTGCTTTCTGCTTTCCAGGGGATTTCCTGAAGACAGTATTACTTAGACTTGTAAGGACTAGGAAAAAAGGTGCGTCAGTCACGCCCAAACAAGCCAAATCTGGATCCTGCACCTCCCAGACTGGATCCTGCACCTATTTTAGTGGATACAGCACCTCAATCACATTCAAGCGATGATTTGATTTGTGATATAAATAACAAAATGTGGAAAAGTTCACTACATAAAAAGCTGTTGGTTTTGGGAGACCCACATATGAGCAGTGGTGAACCTAAATGTCAAACCTTTGTCGAAAAAATGAGAAAAAAAACACGTTTGTGATAATTCTAATTTCTGCTAGTGCCCCTAATGAATTCCAATACTATGTTAGTGCTAAGCTAATAGCAATTCACATGACCATTTTTTGGCTGTTTTACATTAAACACAAACATTTAAAGCTTGTAAAACACATTCCAAGTTATATTTGTAGCTTGTAACAGCCATTAACTTAGATTTTACCTTGTTGCAGTTTCACAGTGGCTCGTTCAGTTAAGAGTTCTGCCAATTCTGCCACTGTTTTTCTTTACTAACAACAGATCGAAACACACTGCTCAGGCTGCCACGTATATCTAGAACTTGTGACATATCTAGAACTTCCAGAAAACATAGAGTGAGCTTCCTCCCCCCCAACATAAAATTGGTTCCAACCACTGGAAATCAAATGTGATTGGCTGATTCTACTGTCAGGTTTTGTTAGTACTTAATCTGATATATTAGGCCTTCAGTTCAGCTCCTGAAGTCTCAACTAATGGGTGAGCTTGCTTGGCTCTGTTTACCTAGATACCACATAGAAAAAAATCCTGATGGGATAATTTCCATTGAGCATTTCAAGAATTTAACCTTTTTGTTTCCAACCAAAACTTAACAATGAAAGACAAGGATTACTATAATACTTTTGGAGTTTAAATACAGCAAGCATGATGATTATGTTAAATAAAAATGAACTAAAAATCAGACATGTATGATGTCTCATCATTAGGCCTAGAAAGGCCTAAGGGTTCCCACACAGGGCTCTGTAAGATCTGACATCATGGGGAAACCTCACACTAAGCTGCATGACTAATGCACCGTTTTTATTTTATTTTCACCCAATTTCCCCTGCAATTTTAATCATGGCCGATTTGCACCCACTGGTTAAGCTTCCTCTATCATGCAATGCTACTTATCTGGGTGGGCGAAGGCTACCATGTGCCTCCTCAGATTTACGTGACGTGCCACTGCATCTTTTCAGACTGCTGCCATATCACTGGACAGCTCAACACGCTTGGAGGAGAAAATTAACTGCTAAATCATCAGCTAACAGTTGCTGTTCTGTTGGCTAGCACTGTGCTGAGTGATGGGGGAGGGGAAAGACTATCCTTCTCACCCAGATGGAGAGAAAGAGTGAGGCCAATTATGCTGTCTTGGACACCTGAGAGATCACTGGGGATCAAACTTACCATCTCCTGACAACTGGATGAACACTCAGACCTTTTCTCCTCTTCTTCAATCTCAATTTTAGACTCCTCAAAGTAACTCTGCACACTCTTGGCATGCTCTTAAGCAGCTTCATGAGGAGCCACCTGGAATGCTTTTCAGACAGTCTGGAAGAAGTAGAAAACTACTTGCTGGGTGGGTGTTTCAACTTTTTGAACCCTCTATTGCATTATGTTGCCTCAGGGCAACAAACTAATTTTTCTCACTTTACACTAGCATTATACATATTTAAAGACAACGACAGGGTTTAAAATAGAGGGAAGAGTTTTAGTAAGTCAATAAAAAGCATGTACTCTGGTCAAACTATCTCTTAGTGGGCACATTTAACGTCATTTTTAACATTTTTTTTTTTTGTTATGTGAATTTGCAGAAATGTTTGTTGTCTAGAAGCAACACTGTGCCACAGTGG